CTTCTTTAAACAAGATCCCACCTCTTGGGTTCCACGCCCAGCTTCATGCTCTAGCCAAATATGGAAATATCCTTTTCCATTAGTACCACAATGTATGCCTAAGTTGTGAAAGTTCAGTTGGCGCTTGTAATAAACAATATTTGTTGGTAATCGCGGTAAACAGTGCGTCTTTTCTAGATCAAAGGTCAGCGTCTCTATTGAAGAATTGGTTTTAGCAGCAGCCAAGTCCTTTTTCATTTGATCTCTTAATTTGTGGGCATGATCCAAATGATCTTTATGTTCTTTTTCTAGAGAAGATAATTGTTCACCAGTAGCAACGGTCTTGTTGGCTTTGTACAAGTCGCAGCGTAAGCACGTATCTTTTTGTGGCTTCTTAAACCTGAGATTAAAGTCTTTGTAGAAAGAAAGCCTGAATCTAGAGAAACTTACATGATTTTCGTATTTTTCTTTATAAAGATCATAAATGATAGACAAGTTCAAATTTGGAGCCAAATATATTGCTGATGTACTATCTCTGCAATAATGAGAAGAATACTTAGGCAAACTCTCTATAAATTGCTTTATTTGCAGCAATTGTTCGCCATCAATTGCGTTTCTGCCCCCAGATTTAACACCCCTTTTGTCACTAATAGAAGCTTGCTCTCTAAATTTGTTAAGAGCCACATCGATTCTTGATTGACTAATGCCAAGTGTAAACAAAAAAGCTTTTTTACAGACTGGAGTATTACATAATTTGTATTTCCTACTAAAAGCTCGCTTGGAATTTACGGAATAGCTTCTTTTCTTGTTGACTTCAATAACACCACCTTGTAAAATCGCGCACCTTGCTTCATAAGAACCAGAACTCCAAAATTTTTCAAATTCTTTTATACGCTGATGAATAGACAATTTTTCTGTACATTTCAAAGGACATCTACAATCTCTGCTATTAAATTCCTTCGCACAAACTTTTTTTCCTTTCGCACTGAAGTAATCCTGATTGGTATTCGCTTTTTTCTTCCTTATGCTGCTGTTCTGGTCTATATATTTCCTCTTGCGTCCTTTTCTAGGTCTACCATTGTATTTTGATGATGGCTCACCTGAATCATTGTCGTTTGTTCCGGGTATATAATCAGGGTCTTCAATGTTTCTATGATTCTGATCAACGGAATTTAAAATATTGATAGTGGCTTGTACACGTCTTACATCAATAGTAGGATGAGGTTCGTTTTCTTCAACAGGAGTAGAAATATTCTCATGCGAATGCTTCTTTTTATCAAATGTATTTGAATTATTATTGTCATTTCCATTAGTTAATGTCTCCATTGCTTGGCATTCACCGTCGTCACTAGCGTTGGAACCACTTCCTCTATTAAAATGAGTAACTATCTCCGTTTGTTGATCCTTACTATTATTTAGTTCATCATTTACAAAATTCAATTTATTTTCTTCAATTGTCGGAAACAGAAAATTAATAGTATCAAAAGAGCTTGAGGGAATTGTCTGCACATCATTAGGCTCTGGTACAATATTTATATCTGAATGATCGAGTAACTCAATTATTGGTGAAATACTTTCCATTGAAATATTATCTGGCAATGTATAAGTAAACAGACAATCGCATCTGGAGTTTTGTGATTCTATAGAGTAATCTAAATCTCGATCAGTTCTAACATTAGGTACAGGAATATCTTGACGTTTATTTGTGTTGGCATGTTCAGTATTTTTATTCAAATCTTTTGTATTGGAGTTCGCAAGATTGACTAGTAATTGACCCCTTGATTTTGGCAGTGACATCTTTCTACAAAAAAAAAATAATATAATTAATAGAATCAGGCGTTACTTTGCGGAAATCCATTATATAAAAGCTTTTACAAAAATTTACTTCGCAAATATCCGCGTTATAAAATAAAATGATGTGTCTTACCTAGTATGAAGAAGCACCTCCCGCCCTCCTTCAATTGCGTGCACTAACCCCGTCACCACTAATAACGGGGTTAGTGCACGCAATTGAGGGAGGGCGGGAGGTGCTTCTTCATACTAGGTAAGACACATTTTATTTTATAACGCGGATATTTGCGAAGTAAATTTTTGTAAAAGCTTTTAAAAAAAAATAAGGATAAGGTTAGTAGTAGACGTCTGTCTATGAAAATAACACCTAAACAACTCGATATAACTCGTGCAATTTTTTTTAGATAGAAAGATAGCGATTTTTCCAATAAAATGTCAGGGTACTTAAAATACAAATTATGTTTCGTGAAAACTAACTGACATTACGTAATAACATTTTATGCACCTTAAACTGCACTATAAGTTTTACTCAAAAGTCGTTAGCTGTTTAGCAATAATGTGTTTTGTTTCATAGTACGATACACAGTATAGTTTTGTATTTAGCAATAATCAATCAAGTGGATTATCATAAATATTTGTTACAAAAGTTACAATAAATCAATCTTAAAGGACCAAATAACATTATTTTAGTATAAGAAAAAGCTTTACCTTTAAAATGTAACTATACAATTATTTAATTTATTCGTTTCCTAATTTATATCGGCAACCTAACCTTTTAAGAAATTACTTACGAAAATCTTAATATAACAGAATAATTATTGACTTACCTTGATGATGCCAGCGTGTATTACATACAATTCACCACAACAACGTTTTATTAAACTAATCAAGTAATTACAATGGGAATATCAGTTATTTTTTAAATTTTTACATGAACTTCTTTATTTGGCACTGGCTGAAGAACTTAATGACATTTCGCAACAAAGTATCAAGTATCATAACATCTTTATAGTGACTACAGATGGAGCTACTTTGAATGTTGACTGTGTTAAGGAGCTTGACGGTGTATTGGTAAATGTTGTATATGTGATTTCTCATTTGTTTTATGATATAATTTATTTTTTCTATACTTATTTGATTTAAGTAACTTAAAACTCTTTTGTATAATGTTTAATAGGTGACGCGTTATCAGAATACATCAATATCTCTGAATTTGACTTTTTGTGGGTTGACACATTATTGCTTATCAGCATCCAAATATTCTATACTAAATAAGTATCCATTTAATACAAAAACTTTCGTTTGCATTACACAGCCGATTACTATTTATTACATGATTCTAAATTAATTCAAAAAACAAACTTTCATGAAAAACATGCACGAACGTTCTAATGTAGATTATTTCTTATGTAGTGCCTGCCAAAATAAAACAGCAATCTTTAAATCGTCAACTTTTGAGAATTACTTTTTCGCAGGAATTAAGTGAACGAAATATTGTTTAGGCGCGTCGCCAACAGGAGTATTTAGCTTTTTAGTAGAGTACGTGAGGGTAATATGGTCATTCGGTTAATATGGTCACTTTCTTATAACTCAAAAACTACAGCCTAATTTGCATAGATAGCTTTGTGATACGATAGCTCTTCATAAGTCATTCTAATAATAAAGGGTCAAAAGGCCACCGCTTTATCGACGCCATTTTGACAGTTGATATTATAGTAAGTACGTGAGGGTAATATGGTCACCTTAAGCTTTATCGCCCTATAAAACCAAAATTAGGAGGAGAACAGAGACAAAAACACAAAGTCGTATACTATAACTAATATATTAAGAAAAAAATAGCAAACACGCCTTGGAAATAATTAGGAACACTTCGAAAAATCTACTTAAAAAAACTAACTAAAAAATAAAATAATAATAATAAACACTCACGCCTGTCACCCAGAGGGGTAGGCAGAGATTATGGACTTCCATTTGGCACGATCCTGACACACCTCTCTCGCTTCCTCCACATCCATATACCTACGCATACACGCTCGTCGGTTAAAGGTACTCTTGATTTGGCCCATTTTTAATATATCGCCAATTTGGTCGATAAACTTTCGCCTAGGGCGACCCTTCCCGACTATGCCGTTCACCTCTGCAACATAAATTTGCTTTGTCACTCTTTCCTCATTCATTCTTTCTACATGGCCAAACCACCGAAGCATTCCTTTCTTAATCCTGGTCACAACATCATCTTGCAAACCACACTCTTCTCTTATTAAACAATTTCTCACTCTGTCATTCAGCTTCATCCCTAACATACTCCTTAATGACCGCATTTCTACAGCATTTATTCTACTCTCATGCTTCTTCTGCCACACCTAACTACACTACACAATATAAAAATCAACTAAAATATTTACAATAATAGCCACTGTCATAATAGCGTCCATAAAGGAGCGCCTTTTTGACCCTTTATTATTTGATAGACTAATCAGGAGCTATCGTATCACAGAGCGTTCTATGCAAACGACGCTGTAGTTTTTGAGTTATAAGAAAGTGACCATAGTAACCGGATGACCATATTACCCTCACGTACTATAGTTAGTTTTTTTTTTAGTTGATTTTTCGATGTGTTACTAATTATTGCCAAGGCTTGTTTGTTATTTTTTTCCATATTAGTTATAGTATACGACATTGTGTATTTGTCTCTGTCCTTCTCCTAGTTTTGGTTTTATAAGGTGGCAAAGCTTAAGGTGACCATATTACCCTCGCGTACCTTATTTATAGGTATTTATTTATAGGATTTACTTTTAGTTTAGATTATAAATGGTAAGATATGCAGGAAGACGATGGATGCATGTGGTTCAGGACCGTGCCTTGTGGCGTTCCTTGGAGATGGCCTATGTTCAGGAGTGGGCTGTAATAATGGTGATGATAAATACTCCATTGTTTTCACGGTTTGCTGAAGAAATTCTGTGATCGATAAAGGAAAATCCACTCAAGAATGCTGTATTCGAATTCTGGAAATGAAGTACAATATTACTGGTACGAGGGTGTTGGTCGACTATGCTTTAACAACCCCCTTGCGGTATTCTCTGATGTTGAGCTTTTAAGAAATGGATGTTAGCTGGAATATTGTCGTAATGGTGTATATTTAACATTGCATTTTAAAATATTGATAACGATGATGACAATGATGATCTTCCAGTAAAGTATTTCATTTACCAACGTTTTATATGTTACAGTTTACTCCTGGAGTCATCACCGTAACGCTGTTATACGTGGACCATCTTCTTCGCGCCAAAATGTTCGGAAATAATAAAACGGAGGATGAAATAGTTGAAGTTTTTGAAAAAGAGAGTTAAATCGCTTACATTTTCAATTTTTATAAGTAATACTACAATTATGTGAAAATATTCTTTATTTTTTTTATGAACATAATCAATAACTAATAATTTTTTAATATAATGTCCATTGTACAATAACTTTTGAACGTGTATTATTATAATCGTTTACAAATAAGTAACAACGTAATGATTATTTAATAGTGGGGATATCACCTAAGATAGGAAAGTTAAAAAATCTTTAATTTCTTATATAAGTTATATAATTAAGTTTAAGTAATGTGGGCTAGGGCGCTGCCTCAAACTTCATAAGTAGATAAATTGGAAAGACATGGCTTATTATTATTTATCAAAAAAATTAGTACCTGGTAGATTAAACTTCACTCAGCGTTAGAAAAAAATATTTCTCAAGGACTTAAATACTTTTATAAAGCGCGAACACACTAGCGTATATCGGGCGTGCGATTTCTCCTAACGTTCGATCAGCGCAGACGTTGCGCGCATGCGGTGCACGCGGCGAACGCGGCGCACGCGGCGCTGGCGTCATTTGCCTACTTAATGCAATAAGAAACAAAATGGGTTCCGGCAAGGAGACTAGTGCTAGGCGTTGAATCAATGGACTAATTGAATAAATGGTTAGTCTTTTGTTGAGGTGCCAACAGTTAACCACCTATGCTGGTTAAACGTTATGCTATCCGTGATATAGAAGGGGTGCGGTGAGGGTGCTTATATGTTCGAAAAACGCTACTGAGATCTCGACGGAGTGGTTTTCAAGAAACCAATTAAAATTGCTCGCTTAAAGTACTCAGCTAAGTTATAGAATATTATATTTAGTTGATTAATACCATATAAAGACACTAAGCATACCCTTACTTACATATTAATGTATTAAATGTGCTGTATCAAAAATGTTTTATTAATTTGTAATAGTAAAATACCTATGTTGTACAAATATCCGTGGTTTGTGGTATATTATATATTCATTGCTATTTTCACATGTTTTTATTTACTTAAAAGAATTTTATGTTTATGGATTTTATAGTAGTAAATTTGTGATGATTAGAATGGTGCCTATATTTCAAGTGTCAAATAAAAATACTATACTTATATTTTATTACGACCAATATTTAGTAAGTGTGAGGTATAGTTCAATTAAAACAATTACCTAATGTCTACGTACTATCAATAATTTGTTCAGTAAATGGGATCGATTAAATGTCATAAAAATGTCAGTTAAATTAAAAACGTAATATTAATACTACGTTGTTCCTTTTTTGAATAGAAAATATTATTATAGTCAAAATATTTGATGTCTGAAAACGTGGTCTGAAATTACTTAACAGTCGGTAAATAGGCCTTTTTCTCTGTAAGAATCCGTCGAGGTAGGTGCCAGCCTTCTATTAATTTCTGCCGTCAGGTCGATAGGATTCGAACTCAGTTATCAAAATAACAACGCACCTGTAGCCTTCTTTGAAGTTTATGTTTAATTTGATTATATTTAATGATATGGTTGTCACGTGTCGGTGAAACGCAAAAACTACGTTTTAATTTTTTATTTATTACATAGAAGCGTCTAATATTATTTTATATCTACCTGATATTTTATGTTGTTAATAATTGGTCCATGTAAGGCAATTAATTTTTAGACCAAAAGTTACGATAGTAATGGTTAATGGCGTTAAATATGGAAGAGTTAATTTAAAAGTATATTTGGAATAGGTAGGTACATCCTAATTTATACACATTACTTAATATGTTAACCTTGAAATAAACCTAAATAAATGTAATTATTTTATTTAGGTGTGTATCAATATATAGTCTTATTTTTTTTATTGATGCGTAAAAAAGCTGCACAACAAATAACTTGGTATTAATTATTATAAACATCCGAGATTAAAAAAAAGTTATTATAAAACGAAAGTTTAAATCGCCTTTGTCGCAGAGTTTATTTTTAATTTTTGTATAAATCGTTGGTATTATGTGTTTAGTCTTATTTTTATGCGATGAAGAAACTATATAAGATAAATATAAAAGTGGAGTTTATAAGCGGACATTAAAAAGTGTAAAACTTTCCGGATGGTGATTCTCAATAACAACAATCACGTTGATAATATTCAATTGAAGTTTTTGCGCGTTTTGGTTTTGAATCCAAATCTTAATAATTCATTCTATTTTAAGAAATAATATCGACTAGCTATACAGTAATCATTTTACAATTTTATTTTTAATTATATCACATTATAGTACAATATACAGATTAAAGGCTATATAATAAAATATACAGATTAAACATACATGTATAATCTTTAGAAATTACCAAATTTCAAGTAAATTGGTTGCAGTTTGTTATCCAGATTTATTATTTTACACTTATCCTTTTCACACTTAAACTTTCATCATTTTCACAGGCACTCATTTTCACACACTATCTTTGGAATGAGTTCGATGACTTTCGTTAAAAAGTTTATCGTATTCGTCATCGCCATCTTCACAATTATCATGATCATAATTATCTTCATAAAAATATTCATTAGTATCTCTTATAACCGTAGTTGTATATACCCTGTTACTATAGGTATCCTCAGTGGATCCTGTGTACGATGGCGTAGAGGGACTATTGAGAACGATTACTGGATATTCATGTTTAGTCCCTCTGGCTGGACCCTGCTATATTTGTTCCATTATTGTTTCTTGATTCCATCTTCCTTTGTTGTTACGTTTTTCTATGACAGGAATGAGAAATAGAATGAGACCACTCAGTGATATCGTGCCGCCTGCTACGTAGAAACCAGGTGCATAAGAATTTAATTCATCGAAGAGCCATCCTGCAATGATTTATTACAATAATTTTTGTAATTGTTTTGATCATAAAAATAAATTATTGTAATAATTTATTGATAAAATTATACCTGCGAATGGTGGCCCAATAAGTGAGGCAATTCCTTGAAACAACAGTAGTAGACCAAAAGCGTTAGTAAGTTTTTCTATACCAAGTAGGTCTACTAGTACTACCGAGGTTAACCCTACGTAAGCACCAATGGTAAACCCGAAAGTTGTTGCGTATAGCGCTAGGCCCCAAAATTCCCAGCATGCCATCGCTAGCGCCGTACCTACAATGAAATTATTTCTTTAAAATCAAAGGAGATAAAAATGAAAAGGTTTACATTTCAAGAATTAATACTTACTTATTCCAGCGACAGTAAGGCACAAATTGTAAGCTAGCAGTCGATTAACCCAAGGCTTATCGCTAATATATCCCAGGATTACTCTTCCTATCAGGTTAGATGCTCCAATTATAGATATTAAATAAGCTGGATTCTGCACCCCTAATTTTTCACTCATAGGGACCGTGTATACATAAGGGATGTAAAAACCAATGCTCGTTAAGAAGTTTGATAGAGAAAATAAAATAAATATTGGATCGACTAAAAGTGATAGGTCCAGCATTTCCGATAAGACTGCTATTGAATCGTCTGAGCATGGTAACCAACCACATTTCCGTACGCTATCTTCAGACTGTTCTCTTAGATGTGTATCTCTTAGATGTACTCTCTCAGGAGATGTTCCTCTGAACTTGGCAAGACTTGTCACACTTCCTTGATATAATACATCTGGACGATGCATTATTCCGCTGCCATGGCGTGAGTGTGATTGATGCCTTAACTCGTTTGGTTTATTCAATGCAGGCTGAGAAAGTGTTAGCCTTGCGACATCACTGTCTTCTATTTTACCATTAGCTCTTGCAATATTTTCGGTACTTTGTGATCGTTTTAATGGAGATTTTTTTGACTTGACTAACATAGGTTCCGATGCTGATGTTTTTGGTGGTTCAGGGACTGGCCTGAACATGAGGCCTAAAGGTATGCAATTAAGAATTAGAGCTCCCATGATGGCCATTGCTCCCCGCCACCCGTAGTTTGATATGAGAGCTGATGTGATTGGTGCAAATAGGAATGTTCCCAGGCCTGATCCGCAAACTGCAATACCTGAAAGAGAAAATATTTTTTTTGAATATATTTGTTTTCATCAACTTAAAATGTAGCTATGTTAGTTTATATAAAAATTGTGGGAAATTGTTTTCAATGCTTTGCTGGAATCAATCTGGTTGAAACGGTTTGTACAAAATAATTATATTTGATTAAATTACTTTTAACCGACTTCAAAGAAGGAAGATCCTTACAATTCGACTGTTTTTTTGTATGTTGGTATGTTACGCCATATCTCCGCCAACTACTTACTGTGAACAGATTTTGATATTTTTTTATAATAAATTATACTTTAGGGATTTTTATGACTAATAAATTTTAATAAAAAGTAAAAACTGACTATAAAGAAATAAAATAAAACCATTTTACATTATGAAATCGGGGCATCATACTATTTTTCTATACACTAGTTACATCTTAGCACCTTATTATTTCTTTAAAGTTGACTTTTACCCTTTGCTAAAAAATTTATTATCATTAATTATATTTTAATAATAAAAATTAGTTGATCCTATGGTATGTTCTTTTATCTGACAATACTACACTGTTTGCGTGTGTGACTGTGACCACGAATAAAAACGTTTTTTATGAATGTGTGTTCTGTGTTGTCATTAATGCACAGACGTCAAGTTATTGATCAGGTATTTCAAAAACACTTGCGGTGCGATTTTGTTTAATTGCATCCGTTCTTGATGTTTTCACCTCAACCTTGAGTTCTTGGACGACTGCAGATCAAAGTCAATATAGTACTATAGCATTTTAACTAAAACTACGTTAGAATTTAAGTAAGTACGTTAACATATCTCGGTGGTAGTATGTCGATAATAAATTTTACTGAACAAATTATCGACATACTACCGCCGATAATATGTTATAAAGTTGAGGCGTTGAGGTTCTCTTCTATCTGGTAAGACATATCTTTTTTATTTTAACGCTGATCTTAGATAATTAAATTTAACATCTTTAAAGTAATCTTCAACTCACACTCAAAACGCCTCGAAAATGTATTACTATTTTCTATAAATTGGTTTCATT